TTTTTTTTTTGTTTGTTTGTTTTTTAGTTTTGTTTTTTGGCCGTCAATAAGAAATTTGCTTGTTTTAAAAAAATCCAAATGCTGGCATTGTCCAGAAAATTTTAACAGGTTTATTTGTAATTGTTATAAAGTTGAACTGCTGAAACTTATTCACTGATACATTTTGACTTGCATTAATGCTTTATGTCCCCACATTTATACTAAAAATCCATAGAAATGAAAATGAAAAAACCTCCAATACCTGATTTCTGTCCCCTATTTTTCCATTCACAATCATATACTTAGGTACCTTTTGATCCCATGGGGGAAAAAAAATCTAACGTTCAGAACTACCAATAACAGGAAGAAGAGAATTTATTTTATTTTATTTTTTTTAAGAATGAAATGTTTCCCATTATAGTGGATTCTTCAGCAAGTTCTCCACATATGCGACGTGCTAGCTGGATGTCTTTTGGCATAATTGTTACACGTTTGGCATGGATAGCACACAGGTTGGTGTCTTCAAAAAGGCCAACCAGATAGGCCTCACTTGCCTCCTGCAAAGCACCAATAGCTGCACTCTGGAAGCACAGATCTGTTTTGAAGCCCTGAGCTATTTCTCGCACCAGACGCTGGAAGGGGAGTTTACGAATCAGAAGTTCGGTGGACTTCTGTTAACGTCTAATTTCAAGAAGTGCCACAGTACCAGGCCTGTAACGATGAGGTTTCTTCACCCCTCCAGTAGAGGGTGCACTCTTACGAGCGGCTTTTGCAGCCAGTTGCTTCCTGGGTGCTTTCACACCGGTTGATTTGCGGGCAGTCTGCTTTGTAGGAGCCATGGTATAGAGACCTCCTCACTTAACCCCCCTTCTCCTTCAGCTGGAGCTTGGCAAGCTAGAGGCGGTGCTGGCCTTAGAGAGCGACAGCTGCATGGCAGCGGACAAAAGACATGCTCAGAGACTGCCGAGTCTCCGCCGAGATGGCCGTCCGCCTCCACTTTAGCCCCCGCTCCTCAGCCCCGTGCCCCACTCCACTTCTTTTGCACACATCATGGAACCCCCGAAGCCGGGGTTTGGGGTGCCAAGGGGGAAGTGAGAGGGGGAGGGTCTGGAGGAGGAGGCGCTGCGGGTGAACGCACGGCCTGCGGGCTTCTGGGGCTAAAGCATTCAGTTTTGATTCTAACTTCATATCTATGATTTTTTGTTCTGCTAAAGCTAAGGATACATTTCTATTCAAATCATTAACAAAATGAGTTGTATGCACTTCATTAACCAAAGCAATAGAAGACACTGTTAAAGAAGTTAAAATAGCAATAAGAGCAGTAATTCCTAACATTAAAGCTACAACAAACCGTTTTGGTCTTATAAGATCATTAAGATTACATAATACTTGCATAGTAGAATTATCAAACCATGGGTCTCCTTGTAGATCTACAGGTAAGACAACATAAGAGGGTCTTTGCACTATAAGCAAAAGGTCATATTGAGCAGTGAGCTTAGGATGAATACAATTTGTTAAAATACAGGAAGAACAATGAATCCTATAAGATTGACTATGATGAGAAATTATCATAGATTCCTTTTTCCCAATAAAATTCCAATGTGATATCATTGTCAATTACTCCAGGAATAACTTCAAAAATTTTTATAGAATTAGAACTCCTTCCTATTACCAATCCAAAAGTTCCAGGAGCTAAATTGTTAATTACTTTTGTTTCTATTAACTGAATGCCATCTATTGAGGATAAAATATAATCTTTAGAAGCAGGCCGGTCTAATCCCACGCTGCCTGGGGTGGCCCTTGGAAGGTCATGAATGTTAATATCCTTTAATGTCCCTATTTCTATCTCGGGGCTGAGGGCCTGCCCCTTTCCCCATTTTTTGACTCCTCCTGTTTGTCTTGTAACGCATTATCTTCTTTATCAAATTTAGATCTACATTCATTTATCCAATGTTTTCCCTTTTTACAACGAGGGCATAAGCCGGGAATTTGAACATTACCATATCTTTGATTAGGACAATCATGGCTAAAATGACCAATATTGTTACAATTAAAACATTTACTACTCCTTGGTGACCCATTCCCTTTTTCATATTTTGAACAAATGCAGAAAAATGTTGGACTTTCATAGCGGCAGCATGAGCCATTCCTTGAACTACTGAAGGAGTAGCATCAATACAAGCTTTTACATTATCTTGAATAGTACCTGTTCTTCTAATGGGTCGAATTAATTCTTTACATAAAGAATTTGCATTTTCCCATGCCAATTGTTTTAATAGCAACTCTTTTCCTTCTGAGGATGGCATCATTCTTTGTAAAGCTTCTTCTAGTCTGGCTACAAAATTCTCATATGGTTCATCCTGCTTTTGTTGTACGCCTGCAAGAACTGTTGTTTTCCCATCTGCAGGTGGCAGTTTAGTCCAAGCCTTGAACGTGACCGCCATGTGGGAGGTTTCTGTTAAAATAGCTTTAGGAATGGTAATTTGTTGTTGATGACTTTCATATTCATTCTGACCAATTAACATAGAAATGGTAGGTTTAGGACCCTGTTTAATATGGCTCTAGATACATATTCTTTACACAAATCTTCATACTCTGTCCTCCATAAGATATAAACCCCTGGAGGAAGCACAGCCTTAGCAGTTTGATACCAATCATAGGGAAGGAGCCAAGTAGAACTCAACATGTCAACCAATTGTAAAGTATGTGGTGCAGAAGCCCCCATATTTTTGACTGCATATTGTAACTCCTTTAATGTTTTTAAAGGGATTGGCTCCCATTGGGGGGTGTTATCATCATCATAATAAGATATTGGAAAAACAAAAGAATGATCACCTTGTTTTCTTGCTTCTTGAACTGCCCCCCAAAAACCCATATTTGGTGGTAGAGGTTTTTTCTTACCTGGAGGGTCACTTTTATGATCCAAATGTGGTTTCTCTTTTGTTGATGGCATTGAAGTGCTCACGAGTACATTATTCTCTTGTTTATAATGAGCCGCTTCTCATTCCCAATCTATTTGATCTTGTTTATCTATCCAGTCTTCTCTAGGTGGTTGCCCCATTAATCTTACAGAATCTATATTATACCCCTTTCTAGTATTAGACATTAACGGAGTACCTTCATCGTCCTCTCGAGCTTCGTCAGATTTATGTGACGAAGTTTCCCCAATCAAAAATTCCATTTCAGTTTTATCTGTTAACAAAACCCCGTATCTGCATCCAAATAGAGAAGGCTTGCACTGGTATTTCATTGGGTCCCTTCCGCTCATTATATTGTCTCATTTCTCGTCCTACTCGCTTCCAATTCTCTAGGGACAGACTGCCTTCTTCGGGAAACCACGGACTGATCTTCAAAAAAAATCAAAGATTTCTAGCAAATTCTTTTTTGGAATGCTAATTCCTCTGCCAGACAGCATGTGGCTCATAACAGAAACAAACAAATGCTTACCTTTTCCTTGAACATTGCCCATGATTACCACATGTTTGTAAATCTTTAGAAACTACTCATCTTAACCAATCTCCTTTTACTTTCACTTTCTATCGGTGAGCCTGCAGCACTCTACGACGAGTATTGTGTGTGAGTATTAAGTTAAAAATTTATTTCAAACAGGTGAATGCATTGTGGCCAAAATGCTCTGTCAAACATTACCTAAATGTGAATTCTACACAGCTAATTGTAACCTCTATTCTTCTGCCAACTTCTCAGAGCACAATGACTTTATTAAAAAAGGGGTCGGGTATGAGTATTAAAACAACATCATTTAGGGGTCTGCTATGGAAGCACAAGAAAAACATACATATATATATTAAAGCAAGGAATTTAAAGTCTGACTATAAATCTAGCTGGAACAACTCCGAGGAGCTTGCTCCCGTTGAAGCCAATGCCTCCAATCTGGCGACCTTTGTCACGCAGATTCCTTCGGAGTGGCGTGACATCCTCAAACATCACAACTCAAAGGCATCAATTTTTGTACGATCTTCCTTATTCACTGTCCAGCTTTCGCATCCATATGAGGCTATTGAAAACCCAATGGCCTGGGTCAGGAGCACCTTAGTCCTCAAGCTGACATGTAGTTACAACTCTGTAAATGGAAATGTTGCCCTGCTCTGACATGTAGCTAGCTCTCTGTATATGGACATTTTGGAATCGTCTGCCGTGTAGCCAGAACTCTGTAAATGGAAATGTTGCAGTATTCTGCCATGTATCTACCTCTCAGTATATGGACACGTTGGATTCATCTGCCATGTAGCTAGAACTCTGTATATGGAAATGTTGCACTACTCTGCCATGTAGCTAGCTCTTTGTACATGGATATGTTGGACTGATCTGACATGTAGGTAGCTCTCTGTACATGAACATATTGGATTTGTCTGCAATGTAGTTAGCTCTCAGTATATGGACTCGTTAGACTCACCTTCCACGTAGCTCAAACTCTGTATATGGAAATGTTGCACTACTCTGCCATGTAGCTAGCTCTTTGTATATGGATATTTTGGACACATCAACCTTGTAGATAGCTGTCTGTGCATGGATATGTTTGTCTGATCTGCTATGTAGTTAGGTCTACGTATATGAACATATTGGACTTGTCTTCCATGTAGCTAGCTCTCAGTATGTGGACATGTTGGACTCATCAGCCATGAAGCCAGCTCCCTCTCTATGGACATGTTGGACTCATCTGTCATGTAGCTAACTCTCATTATATGGACCTTTTGGACTCATCTGCCATGTAGCTAGTACTCTGTATATGGGCATGTTGGAGTCATCAGCCATGTAGTCATCTCTCTATGTACAAATATGTTGGACTCATCTGCCTTGTACCTAGTCCTCTATATATACACATGTTAGACTCATCCGCCATGTACCTAACTCTCGGTATATGGACACATTGGAGTCATCTGCCATGTAGTTAGAACACTGTGTATGGAAATGTGGCACTACACTGCCATGTAGCTAGCTCTCTGAATATGGAAATTTTGGACTCTTCTGCCATGTAGCTAGTTCTCTGTGCATGGATATGTTGGACTGATCTGCCATGTAGGTAGCTTTCTGTACATGAATATATAGGACGTGTCTGCCAAGTATTTAGCTCTCTGTATATGGACATGTTGGACTTATCTGCCATGTAGATAACTCTCAGTATATGGACATCTTGGACTACTCTGCCATGTACCTAGCTTTCAGTGTATGGACACGTTGGACTCATCTTTCATGTAGTTAAACTCTTTATATCGAAATGTTGCACTAACCTGCCTTGTAGCTAGCTCTCTGTATATGGACATGTTGGACTCATCAGCAATGTAGCCAACTCTATGTGTATGACCATGTTGGACTCATCTGCTTGTAGCTAGCCCTCTAAATATACACACGTTGGATTCATCTGCCATATAGCTAATTCTCAGTATAAGGACATTTTTGACACATCTGCCATGTAGCTAGTACTCCGTATAGAGATATGTTGGACTACTCTGCCAAGTAGTTAGCTCTCAGTATATGCACACTTTGGACACATATGCCATGTAGCTAGAACTCTATATATGGAAATGTTGCACTATTCTGCCATGTAGCTAGCTCTATGTATGAAGATATGTTGGACTGATCTGCTATTTAGGTTGTGCTCTGTATATGAAGATATTGAATTTATTTGACATGAAGGTAACTCTCCATATATGCACATGTTTGACACATCTGCCATGTAGCTAGTACCCTTTATATGGACATGCTGGACTATACTGCAATTTTGTTAGCTCTAAGTATATGCACATTTTGGACTCATCTGCCATGCAGTTAGAACTGTGTATATGGAAATGTTGCACTACTCTGCCATGTAGCTAGCTCT